TAGCAAGATTCTTCAAAAGTTACTTGAGAGTTCATTTAAGATTGCTGACTGAGATCACAATACAGTAATTAGATGGAATTAAAGTTAAAATGGAAAGAAAATGAATCAAGCAATAAAGTACAATGTGTAATGCCACCCACCCCCCACCATGCATTCTCATGAAAGAAAAGAAGCTTTGATAATATACTATGTTACAAAAGCAACTTTAACATGGGGTGGGTCTGTATCCTTTCCTGCTAAACCACAAACTCAGCATTTTCCACCATTTTTGCTTTTCCTCTTCCATTTCCTGAGAGATCAGTAGGAAAGTCAGACAATGTAAGACACAAATAGTAGCCACACAGGTCAGTTTAAATTCCCAACAGCTACATTTTTAAAACACAAAAAGAAGGAAGTTAAATTCATTTCAGGAATGTATTTTATTTTTCCAATATATCAAAAATATAATCATTTCAATCTGAAATCAATATGTTTAAATGATTAGTCGGGTATTTTACATGCTTTCTTTCACACTACATCTTTGAAATCAGACATGGGTTGTGCACGCCCAGCACCTCTCCATTCAGACCTGCCAGATTCAAAGTGCTCAGTAGTCACACATGGGTTGTGGCTACCATATTGGATAACAGAAGTCTAAGCGGGCAGCCAACGAAAATGCACTGGGAGAAAGTATAAACCTAAAATCATGTTGCATTGGATACATGATAATTCAATCCATTGGCAAGCTCAACAGGAAGCTTTGAGAGCTAAGAAGGGTTGAGAAATAAATTGCCCTTGTCCTTCAACTACATCACTTTTTTGCTGTATTGAAATCCTACAAGGATTTGCGTATTCACCCCCAAGTATACCTAACAGAGTATTCTTCCCAGCCTTTTGATTTTTACTCCCATGAGGATCAGGTGCCCAGGCACAAGACAGCCCCAGTACTCAGCCAGCCTGCAACTTCTGGATCCCAGAGGAAGCGGGGAGGGCAGGGGGAAGGACACGTGCGAGGGGGAATTTGCATGGCTCTGTGTAGCATGTGTCTGTGCGTGGAGATTCTAGGAATTTGTGTGTGGTAGTGTATACTGTGTGTGTCTTGAGGGTGACTGAGTGCACAAGAGAGTGTGCGGCATGTGTGAGAGAAGAGAAGAGAGGTGAGAGGCAAAGGCAAGACCAGGCTCACCAGCTCCCAGGGCCCTAGCCTAATCTGAGGGTGCACGTGGAGCGCCTCTGAGAGGAAGAGCCCACCTTGGCCGTTGGAACTTTCCCACAGCCGTCAGCTCCATCCTCCGGAGGGTCTCTTCAGTGTTGCAGCACATTTTAAAAACCCACTATTAAGTAGGTGCTGTCTATATCCTACGGCACAGGTGCCAAACACAAGGCCTATGGGCAAATCCAGCCCTCCACCTTGTTTTACCCCACCTAGTGCCTTATTTCTAACAGCGGCAGCACTCAGCTCTCACTTAATTGTTAAGGAGTAATTACATTTATACAGTCCTAAAATTACATTTGGCCCTTTGAAGGCAACCAGGAGGCTGATGTGGCCCCCGGTGAAAATGAGTTTGACACCCCTGCCCTAGAGAGACATTGGTGATTCAATCTGGTAAAACTCCTTCAAGCCTCCCGGTAGTCAAGACCTCCAGAAAGCTCACCTCTGTCTTCTGACTGGCACCAGCCGTTGCTGGCTCTTCCCACACAAGGAGCACCTGGCCAGGCAAGGGCGCTGGAGAGGCTCTGCCGCCCGGGTCCAGCCTGGGGGGGTTGCACACACAGAGAGACTTGCAAGAGCAACCTCAAAGGAACTAGAACATTTCTGGGAGTGTTCTAGTTCAATTCCAAAGGTGTCCATGTTTAGGAGGAGTTTTTCCTGGATGGGCAGCCTGAGCGGCCTCCTTCTTCACCCTCCTCCAGAGACCAACAAGACAGCACTCAATGGGGCCTTTTATCCAATTATTTCTCTTTTCTCCTTGTTGTGTTTACAAAAGCATTATTTGGTGGCAGTCGTTTTCCAAATCCTACTCCACAGTTTGTTAAGGAACCAAGAGGCTGCAGGGCTCCATTGGGTGGCGGGGAGGAGGAGGGGGGGCAGTGGTCACAGGGGAGAACCTGGCCCTTCACTGCCTTCAACGTCTATGCTTATTTTTTCAGCTCTGGGCTAGAAATTGGCTTGGTGGCCTTCTCTGTGTTGACTGCCTTTTCCTGGAAAAAATTTCCAGACCATGGATGAGGTAGGGAGAGAATAGAGGACATGGGATCCTGTAAAGAAGCAGAGAAAGGACAGGTTAACAGATCGGTGGGCCTAGGGAGGACAGAAGCTTGATAAGAGAGGAAAACTGCCTTCTCCCGGAGCCCTGGAGTCTCCAGAAGTCTGGACAGCAAAGCCCCACTGGGCCTTGGCGTCCCTCGGACCTGACTGAGGCGTCTCTTGGACCTGACCACGGCCCGTGCGCCACAAGGGTCCAGCGCCCACCCGTGAGGGTCAGGAGGGACCCAATGCATTCCCTGCCCGCGCCCCAGCGCTCAGCACCGCCGTCACCTCCAGCACCAAGTGCATCCTTCCCGCCTTCCTGTTTGGGGGCTGAAAACCGGAGATCACACTCAAAGTTGGGGGTGGGGCGGGGAGAGGCGATGGAGAGGGGGAAGATTCATAATCTCAGTAATCCGGAGAACAATTACATAAATCACTAAAACTTGTGTCACGGTGGGCACTCTAAATTGGGAGCTGTTTGTAACAACGCCGCTGCCTCGTGTAAGTAACTCGTTTGCTTTGTGGCACACAATTGCTCTAACGTGTATTGTTTTGAGTTCAATCTAAAGAAAATAATTTCAAAATCTCTCTCTGGCGTTATTATGAAAGTAGAAGATGGTGTCTGTTAAATTCACCCCTTGTTACCTCTCAGCGAATTTAAACTTGCAAACAACACTTAAGAGAAAACTCAAAAACCTCCAAACTTCAGAGTTGCCTGGGTCAGAGGTCCGACCTCAGAAACCCCAAGGAAGGGTTTTAACGTTTTCGAACCTGTGAGAAAGAGAAAATTATGGATCATCAGCAGTTGTCACTTGCAAGCCGCCCCCCTTCCCTTTACCCTCCCAGCAGAAGGGGATCTGGAGTTTGAAACTTGTCATGGAGAAGAGAAACCTTTGCTCAGAGGCTGCTAATGAATTCGAATTGTATAGTTTTCAAAACCTGATGTTTTGCAATGATGACATTAGTGTGGCAACCGAGGGTCCGAGGCGACAAGTCTGCGCAGCTGCTCCGCGCTTTGAAATGCCCAAGACAATGGGCGCCAGTGTTCCCGGGCGCTTCGCCTCTCCACTGCATTTGCATAGTCTGTTCTGCCTGATTGACCAGCGGGCCTGTCGCGGGGATCGGCATTGTTCACAGATCACGTCAAGATGGCCGAGATGACAAGATTCAGGTGAGAGATGAAGTGGGATGATTCCAGAATGCCACGACAAAAAGCAGCCCTGGGAAAGGAGGCAAGGGCTGGGGCGAGCTGCCTTCCGAGGGTGGATTTACTTGTGTGCTTTTAAAGACCTCATCAAGTTGCTGGAGGGGAAAATTGAAGACAACGATTTTAACAGGAATTTACAATGTCCTATTTGGTGGGTAATTTGGAGTCCTTCTGTATCTAAAAATCCAGTAATTTCATGGCACTTCATTTCACTGTATTTTTTTCACTCTTATAAGTTCCAGTTATACCGCCAAAAGGGAAACAAGTAGCTCCATTCTATGGGGCCAAAAACTGCCACCAATTGAGACTGAATTTGCTATTTTGGGGAAACATCACTTTTGAGAAGTTGTGGTGGCGGTCCCTTGGCCGGCAAGTCTGAATTGGATAAGTAAATACAATCTAATAATTTGGTTGCAAGTGACCAGCCGCACGCAGTACTTGGTTTCAGCCGTCAACAGCTTCGGACTTCGTGGTGCACAACGGAGTCGCAGGAGCAGAGAACCTCAGCACCACCGCACGGGTTTTCCTCTGACACTCGTGTTTTGACTTCAGTCAGAAAGGCAAACTCTTCGCCATCCAAGTGTCTTTTCCCCAGAGGCCTCAGTTCCATCTGCCATAGTGTTGTACCCCTAATGCAGGAGCACCGCGGGGATTGCGGCACTGGGGCGTATTTCCACACCCAGGGTTTTCTTTCTTGGGGGTTTCAATCACCGGGAGAATAAATATTGCCAATGATTTGCAGAGATTGGAATCCTGGAGATGTGCATCTCGGGGGAGGGACCTAAGGCGGGAACGGGCGGGTGGGGCAGTTTGAAGGTGGAGGGACCCAGCCAGAGGAGGGGGAGCACCTTTACTGCAGAAAAAGGAGGAGGGGGGACATTCTTTCCCTCCGGTCAAAAAGGCTTGATTCTGACACAGACCTGCCTTGGCCGGGTGGACCACAGGCCGCATCACCGTGAGCTGAGGACCTGCTCAGGCTCAGCTAGACCCAGGCTGCGCTCCGCCCTCCTCTTCCTCTTGGCCCCCTCTTCTCCTACCTCCGCTCTCCTCCTCCCCCTCCTCTTCTTCCTGCTTCAGCCTCCTGAACCCCGCACCACCCACCCACCCAGGCAAAAGCCAGCTTTGGAAAAGGTGACCTGCAGCCCCGCCCGCAGGCACCAAACCCCGGGCACGTCTGGTCCGGGGCAATAACCTGGCTGACCCGAAACCCGCCCCGCAAGCGCGGGGTAGGCGTTTCCATGCCTCCACCCGCTTTGGCTGTGAATTGCAACGACGCTCATCTCGGGAATATAACGATTAATCCAGCCGCAGGTTTCCAGATAAGTGATTGTGATGGAGATTGTTGGCGAGAAAATAGACAATTATCCGCTGTTAGCTTTACATAAAGATCGCATTAACTCAAATTAGTTATCAGACAAAAGAGCGTCGGCGTGCGCGCCCGGCCCGCCCGCGCCCTGCCCGAGCCCTGCCCGCCGGGGACCCTGGGAGCAGCCGGGCCCAGCACGCAGCTGGCAGGGCAAGAGGCGAGGGGGCGCACACGAGCGAGACCCAGGGCCTGCCCCACGCAAGCCCTCGAGTGCTGCGCTTGCTTGGAGGCGGCGCGGGGCTCCCTCTGAGACTCCCGGAGCCCCAGGGGCGCCTGCGCGCCAGCTCCGCCCCCACCTCGCCTCTAGTCCCTTCTACACCCACGTTCCCTTCCAGGGCCCCGAGTCCGCGGTTTCCCGCGCGCTACCCGCTGCGCTGCCCCTCTCTTCCCGCCTCCCGCAGGCCCTGGTTTTCTGTCTTTGAGCCGGAGCAGGAACGTCATTCATTTTTTCGGAGTGGACTGGCCCTCCTGCCCCCGTTGGAATTACACACGCAGCGATGGAGTGGGACCTTGGCCACTCCGAGCGAGCTTCGACAGGGAGGCCCTGTGGCCGACTGCCCCCCGCTCCTTGCAGCCAATCACTGTAGCTCCCAAGCGCACCTCGTCTAGTTGCCCCCGCGGCCCCGCTGTCCGTGAGGATGAATGGGAAAGGCGGACTGGGGGAGAAAAGGCACAGTGTGACTCTCGGAGCTGAGTCCGTGGCCTGGGGGACCGATGGGGACCTGCGGCTCCAGGCTGGGGAGGGGGTAGGGCAGTGCCATCTGACTCGGGATGAACAAACGTTGCGCACTGTCCACGCCCATGTTGCCTCTTTCACGGCCTTTCCTCCTCTGTCCCTAGTGGTGTTGACACGGCCTGTCGGATCACGAATATCACGGATGCTGTAGGTCTAAACGCACACACCGCCGTTGGGCGCCCCAGCCTCGCCGCAGGGCTAGGCGAGGTCTCCACTCCCACAGGCGCGTACTGGCACTCCGGCGCAGGCCGGCCTCCGGGGCCCCTAGGGTCCCCGGGCCCCGCTGAATAGGGCGGATAATGACCCCCGGTTCCCAAGGCAGGCTTTCTGCTGCCTGGTGAGCTTGGATTTGTGTGGTCCAAGCCTTTCCCAGCTTGTCCCATTCTGTCACCGGGATAAGGGGCTCCCTCAGCTCGTTTGCACCTGCGTCGCTTTTGGCTCCTTCAGGAATGCGCTGAAGCTTGTAATCAGCTTTGTGAAGCCATTGAGTGCACGGCTGAGTGAAACTTCCAAAGCTCGAGGAAAACTGGCCTGCTGAATAGGAGCCAGCATGGGGCTGCTCTCCAAGCCTCCACGTTGCCAAATTCCAGCAGAGCCCCTCACAATCGCTCCGCGCGGGCTCCACCGCTTCCCCACACTGAGAAAAGTGAGAAAAGAAAAGCGAAAATACCAGTCACCGAGGTTAGCCGTTTGTTCCCAGATTAATGGCAAACGGTTCTCTCTCACCGTCGCCCCCCCGCCCAACGCCCAAACTTAGCTCACTAATTTAGGAAATATGACATAGGGAAGGGGACCACGATTATTAATAACTCCTCATCTTACTTTACATCTTCAGCTTGGAGGTCTTCTGTCTGCATTTCCAAGTCCCAGTCTCCTGGTGAGATTTCTTGCCTGGAGATTCCTTGTCCATCTCACCTTACATGTGTGGAGTCAGATGGAAGCAAACGTAAAAATCCTCCAAATTAGCACTAGGAAGCCCCCAAACACATTTCCTCTAGGAAACAGAACAATAAACCAGTCCTATCGCTTTGCTAGGTCACCCTCACCCCATTCAGCAGAACCTATGTCCCCAGTATCATGTGCCTTGGATTTCAGTGGCTTTGGAAGAGAAGAGGATGCATGGAAAGCAGAACTTCTAAAACATATAAGATGATTTTGTTTTTTTTCTGGACAGATGAGTTTAGAATTTGAGGTGCAAGAAGTGTTAGAGCCGTGGCTGTCCCCCACCTCCATCCCAGGGCTTGTGCTCCTGGCTGCAGTTCTGGGAAGACTGGTGTTCTCTGAGCTACTACTTGCCCATGTAGAATCTAGGACCCTCAGACAAGCACCTCCCAGGGCTTCCTTGCAGGTCCCATGGGTCCTCTCATTCTATCAAGGTAAACGGAGGGAAGGAAGTTCCAGGCTGGCTTTCTCTCCACACAAGGAAATCTCTGGCAGCCAATAGACCAGCCAGCTTGCAAAAGGCAAACTCATCATACTCATCAACATTAGTCAAGACATACCAGCATCCTGTAACTGTCAGCTCCTCTGGGGCGGGGCCATTTCTTCGTGTTGGTACACCCCACCATCTCAGAACAGTGCCTGGCACACAGCTGGCACTTAACACAGATTTGTTGAATGAAGATTCTCTAGTTTTCTTCCTCTGAACTCAGAGCCTGGAAGCAGGTCTGCAATATGGAATCCTTTCTTCAGATTGTGCACAAGGCTCACTCTCCTGTGAATCCTAATAAACATAACTTGTAGGGAAAAAAGCAAAGGCAACATCATGATCCATGCATAAAAACTCGTTACAATTGCTGTGAATTCTTTAGCTAATTAATTCTTCCCACCATGAATTGGAAGTCTTTTCTCTTCTGAGAGCACAAATCTATCATTTTTAAGATTTGATCTGGATTTCCATTCCTTGAGATGATGTTTAGGTGACTAAACATCATCTCATTTCTGCAGGGTTTTCTCCTGCCCCAGCACCTTACTTTTGTGGGTGCAACAAAGTGCCCGACTGCTGCTCTGTGCCAGGAATAGTCCCCTGGTTGGGTGTAAAGGCTTAACAGGCCTCTTTACATACCTGACTTATCATAAAGCCCTGGGGAGGATAACATTACCAGGCAGAAGAAGGAGAGGAGAGCTCCCCTTGTGGATGCCCTGTTACATACAGTGTCTATGAGACCAGGAGTAGGCAAGAATTCTGTTCATTCAAGGAGCTATAATATCTGAAACAGCCTATTTGAGTGAGGAAGAGACTGTATTCAAAGAGGTCAAGTGATATGCCCAGAAGTCATCATGACTGTTGTAAATAACAATAATAAAAAATAAGCGAATGGTTTTCCTGTTTTAAAACACATCATATAGTTCTGTTTAAGAACAAAGTAATTCTCCCATTCATACACTTCTGAACCCCCAAAAATGGCACAATAAGGGAATTTGGGGCTGAAAGAGAAGTTAAATATCACTCTATGCCAGGACTGTGTGCATTCATTCATAGATGCTAAAGTGCTTTAAAAATCCCAAAATCATACCACCCATTTTGACATTCAAAGTTTAATTTTTTATTGCAAAGTTCGATGTGTTGGTTCCGGCAGTGTTTCTCCTGCCAACTACTCTCAGTAACAAGTCAGGAGGATATGCAGCAATTCAGAAATTAGTGAAATTTTCTTCTTGGTGGGGGCATTGGATTAAGAGGCTGGGAGAGTGTGAAACAAATCAACGTGTAATTGTATGATAAGGCTCTCACGAGGAATTTATTGGCCAAGTTGCTATTTCTATTCCTTCCTAATCTCGTTTAGCACATTCATTCTCTGCAATCTGTCTCCATAATCTTCTGTGGCAGAATGGCAGCCAATAGAAGCATGCATGTTTGGAGAGAAGAGAAAATATGCAGAAGCGTGATAAACTGATGCTAATTATCCATATTTAGGACACCGAGTGCAGAAGATCAAGGTTTACAAATAACAAACCAGAGCCAATGATGATGGCTTCCTCGTGTGGAATATGTTGGAGGGGACCAGATAAGGGTTTCACGGGCAAGAGAGATTTACTGGTCAAAGGGTTCACCTTCCACTTTTCCACTTTTATATAGCAGTAAATTATTTAAGCTAAATTCACCAGAACATTACTCTTTTATTTGGCTATGTGCCATGACTTGCTCTTTCTTTGTGTCCTTTCAATGCAAATCCTTGTAGTGTAACATCAGTTGATAAGGGACAAATAATTGAAGTAATAGGTAATTCCTTCTAAATCGTACATATAGGACGGTGAGGTAATGCTACCAGGAGGAATGAGATGAGGTAAAGAGTAGAGGGCTGAAAGTGAAGCAATACCAACCTCAGCTGTTAAATGACTTCTTTGCCAGAAAATAAATGAATATAGATATCTGCTCCATGGATGTATGTGTGTGTCTCTGTGTATTCCACAAACCAGCAAGCTTGTGGTAAAAGGCAGGTATTTGTTTGAGAATTGAGCCAATATGTCCATCTCTTTCTCCTGTCTGGACTTCTTATCTTTAAAACAAATGTAAGTCTGAACATACTGTTTCTCTTCTCTGTACTGTCTCCACACCACCTCAAATCGACCTAATATTTAAAACTGGCTCCCAATCCTTTCCAAGACTTCTAGCTGTGGGAATAGACATAAAAAGAATTCAGGCTGAAATACCATGTGACATGGTTGAAGGGTCTGTGGTGGAGATTTTTCTGCATTACAATAATTGCCTTGAAGAGTTTCCAGGAAACAAGCACAAATGTAGCTCAGTGTTTTGTTGCACATTTGCATGCTCATCTTGAAGTTTAAAATATTGACTAAATCCCATTTAGTGGTACTAACTTTGATTTTGGTGGCGGGGGGGGGGGGCTGGAACTCATCATCAGCTTTGGTACCAGCTGGAAAACTACTCTCATTGCTTCATCCTTTGAGAGTCTTCCAGAGTTTTTATTTGTAACTTTTTCAGTTGGATGGACAAGACAAGAGGAACCCTTTGGAAAATACACATTGCAATAAACTGTGAACTACTTATTATAAATACTAGACTTTAGAATAAAAAGAGCCATGCTGAAGTTTGAAGATATAATTTATAATTCTTACATAAAGAAGTACTAATGAAGAACAGGTGATCCTTGGCACAAACAATTTTTCTTCACCCCAGACTATATGAACAAGAACTATATAGGTTACTACCACATACATTCACTTTTTCTTTTTAACAAGCCTAGGATGCCATTATCGTAGGATGTGTCTTTATTATTGGCACTATAAAAGGAAAAACTCTTCCAATTATAATTGTAAGTTGTCGTTAATGATAATGGTATATTTAGATTCCAGAAATGATAAAATTAAAAATGTGTGTCTTAGAACCAAGGTAATGCAGTATGCACAGTAATGTCATTGAATAATGAATTTGTAACATTTTTGCCAAAAATATTTTCAAAATTACCCATTACTCTATAGAAATCAACTTTGCTGAAAATTAATAGATATAAAATACAGTCACACACAGCAAGGTGATGTTTCAGTTGACAACAGAAGGCATATATGACTATGGTCCCATAAAATTATAATGGAGTTGAAAAATTCCTATTGCCTAGTGACTTTGTAGCTGTGTTAGCCAAAGAATACTCGCATGTTTGTGGTCATGCTCATGTGAACAAACCTACTACACTGCCAGTTGTACAAAAGTACAGCACATGCAGTTGCAATAGTAGACTAGACCATCTAGGTTTGTGTATGATGTTTGCACAATGACAGAATTACCAAACAACTCATCTCTCAGAATGTATCCTCGTCATTAAGAATCACATGACTGTAATATATAGTCAACACATAGAACACATACTCTACACTTATACATAGCTTAAAAGCATAGAATTGAGACAATTATCCATTCAATTCATTTAAAAAAGAAAAAAGACAAATTTTTTCATCAATAATCTAGCAATTGAGGCTAAAGATATAGGTTGCTGACATTTCTAGAAATTACCTAGGCTAGAGAAAGAACCCCAATTCTTCCCTTTATTCAATGCATGCAGATTCCAAAAAACCAATATGTAACATATGTACGTGTGTGTATATATATTTGGTGTCTGTCAAAGTGAAATGAATAACATAGGCTTGTTTCAGTATGGCTTGGTTTTCATACTCCAGACTAGAGATTGCTGATTTGAATAATTTGGTTCCCAGATTCAGTTTTTCTTTCTGAATTACAGGATTTTTACCTATGTGAATAGTGACTAAACTCTTTACCTATATATGCTCTCTTTTCAATTAATCCCTCTTCGCTCACTGACAACCACTGGCCAATCTATGAAAACTAGCCATCATTATGAAAATATGATTAAATTCAGAGAAAGATCAACAACTTCTTTTAAAGTAACCTGGTAAATGCAAAAAAAATAGTTATTGCTTTCCAGTTGAAGCTAATTTTTAAATTTAAACTTTTTTTTTAAATTAAATTCAGTGCTTTTTGCCCTGATTGGTATAGCTCAGTGGATTGAGCATGGGCTGCAAATCAAAGGGTTGCTGGTTCAATTCCCAGTTGGGGCATATGCCTGGGGTGCAGCCCACCCAGTGGGAGCCACGTAAGAGGCCACCACACACTGATGTTTCTCTCCCTCTCTTTCTCCCTCCGTTCCCCTCTCTCTAAAAATAAATAAATACAAATCTTTTTAAAAATAAATAAATTCAGTGCTTTCTTTGAAAATCAGTTTGAGTTCATGTATTTGGACAGAGGCAGATTTTCACCCCATTAGAATTGTGCCTTCACAGAATGTGGAAAAGCAAACAGGTAGGAAAAGTTACCCAACCAACAGATGTAGGGATTCTACATGTGGCTGCTGTCATAGCCATGCACTTTAGGCTGTGCTGTGCTGTGTGTGTGCCTATATGCATGTGTGAATGTACATGTGTGTCCAAACATATGCCCACACTCATGGGTGGTGTCCATATTGTAGCAAGTCAAAGCAGCATGGCACTGCTTTTTTTCTGCAGAGCTCAGTGCTAAGTTGCGTTGAGCAGAAAACATGGATGTGTAGAGATGCGAGGGAGAAGATTAAAGGAAGCTGGATATAGGGCAACTCTGAGTTAGGGTCTTTCTGGAGACCAACTTTGACCTCTCTTGTAGTTCATGATGCCCACATCATGTAAATATGAGTTTTATACTCAATTCCCGCTCTTGGGGCTTTCTCTCTCTATGAAGTGAGTGGTTAGTTTAGTGTGTGGCTATGATCTCTGCTCTTATTCCTCTTTAGAACCTCCCCTCACCACTCCATACAAATTAACATCAAATATTTATTCAGTGCATGCAAACTGAAATACCTAGTAAATACCTACTTTCCACTGAATCTTCAAATAATGCAGAAGGTGGCTTTGTGTACTCATTTTCCTGAGTTTGCACTCCTGGAATACTTTCATGGAGGTGTTTCATTCAGACTCTTTAAAAATGCCTCTGAGCTGCAGTTCTTATCAGTGGGCATATATATTGAGGCATCTGAAATAAACATAGAACTCCAATTATTGTTTGCCTGTGAACTGGTTAGCAAGATGATTACAAGATACAGTAAATATGCTTGGCATGCTGAAATGTACTTTCAGCTCCAATGACTTCAAATAGCTTCTAAGTAAAACAAATAAACAGAATAATAGTGGGATTTATTTGGAATTATTCATTATGAGACTATCCAAGGTATGACATTTCCAATCACATCTTAATTTTCTTTTTAGGAGCAGGAAGGGTTTTCATATC